TCCATTGGTTTGTTGATGGGTACTTAGGTTGTTTCCAACTCCTTGCTTTTGTGAACAAAGCCGCGGTAAATGGCTGGATGAGCATACATGGATCTATTTTTAAGGAAAAAATATGAAAGGAATTCCATAAAGCATTAGTATAATATTTTTCCCTAAGATTTTTCATTTCAGGCTATTGAAACTATTTTCAAAATTTTTAGAGATATGTGTGAAATAATTTTTTTAAAAAAGCTAATTTGTATTACGCAAACTGTAAAGCATCCTTTTATAAATTTCCTTTAAACACTGAAGTTTTATGTTTTTCATACTCTTATCTTTCTTCATGAGAAGCAAGCTAAAATCTTATTGGTGAGTTTTTATTGATTGCATATATTTCCATGGCAAACCTATCATAAACTGACCAAAACTCTATCATAAAGTATATGTGACATTAAAAATTTATTGTTCAAAATGGCTTCCTAACCATTAGCTTTGACTTTGCCATGTAAATGGATGGGAATGTGTAAAGAGTGTGTTAGACTATCTTCAAGGGGATTGGCTAGTCTCACCATAAAATTGAGAAAATCCATCAGCAGAATTTGAGAATCTCACCACCAGCAAAGAAGAAGCAAGAGGATGTAATGCAGCCTTTGGGGCCATAGTTTCTTGTGCCAGCCAGAACAGGGCCCATGGGAGCAGCAGCCATAGCAGTCAAAGCAGAAAACCAGAGATGTAACAAGGGACAGAGTGGACTTTGGGACTGCTACCCCATGGAACCAGAACTAAAAGCCTTTGCTCAAGTTTGTTGGAAGACTATGGGGAGAGAGCCATAATAGGCAGGACTGAGAGTCATGGCTGAGGTACCTGAAAGCACATATCAGCTGCTGTCCTGAAGGATTGTATCCTGTTGCCAAACTGAATTCTAGCCTTTTTTTACTTTGGCTAATAAGGTTCTGTGTGGTTTGTGAGTTACAGCAATGGATTTCAGGTCCATTAAAACACTAAGATTGGTGCTGAGATAAGTAGAAAAAGGTCTGACCTCATGGGAATTGGTTTTGAGTTGTGGCTATTGTTGACAGGGACAGTTCCCCTTTGTGGACTTGGTTAAAGCCAAGTATGTCCATTTCCATGTGTCCCTTGCTTTTTTACAGTATACCTTTTACAAAATGCATGTTTGATAGTTAAATACATATTTAAATTGCATATATATATTAATATATGCCTATTAAATACATGTTTAATAATTAATATGCTAGTTCATACTAATATGCTAGTGCAGAGAGATTCATTAAATGTTACTTGACAGATTTCCAGCTTGATCAAGGGTAAGCATTAGAGAAATCTGTTCTCTCTAATTTATAGAAATTACATGTATTTTATGCATTGTATCCTCTCTTAAAAATATCAGAAGATGCATATCCAGGAGGAGACAACATCAATGAATGAGACTTTCTGAAGATTAAGTCCCTGTTTACATCAAAACCTTTTTCCAATAGGGTGAAAAGAAAAACCTACTTACGGAAAAAAACATCTGGCATGACATCTCAGACAAGGGTCTTATAACAAAAGTTTACAGAATACTACAGAGCCTCCAGAAGAAAAAGACTGATAACCCATTTACAAAATAGGCAAAAATATGGAAAGACTTTTCAAAGAGGGAGACATTCAGATGGCCAACCGACACAAGAAGAAATGACAATAACAGAGATGCAAATCAAAACCATAAAGAGACACCATCTCACCCAAGTAGAGTGGCCAAGTTCAATAACAAGCAATACATACTGGAGAGGATGTGGAGAGATTGAAATTCTCATACATTGTTGGTGGGATTGTAAAAGGGTGGTCTGAAAGGCAGTTTGGCATTTCCTGAAAAAAGCTGAATGTAGAAATTCTATATGACCCAGCTATTCTACTGCTTGAAATATACCTTGAGGAAAACAAAACTGAGACACAAATGGAGATTTGCACATCATTGTTCATAGCTGCATTATTCACAATAGCACAAAAATGGGAACAGCCCAAAAGCTTATCAACAAATTGAGAAATTGTAGTACATTCACACAATGGAATACTATGCAGCATCAGAAGCAACAATTTCTAATAATACTGTTATGTTATATATAACATGGGAGCGGCTAGAGAGTATTATGCTGGGTGAACTAACTCAAGCTTGTAAGGACAAATACTGCATAAGACCATTATGGTAAAAACAGAAGGATAACTAGTAAGATGTGTATTGATATCCAAAGAGGGAAGAGGAAGTGAAAAAATCACAAGATCACAGAGTTTGGTTGGTGTAGAAAAGGGGTGGAGGAATGAGAAAGATCCAGTGAGAATCTAAAAAGCCTGGATAATAGTGGGTATAGATCAATTGCAATTAATTTTATAAGACAATATATGAGAATAACTGTATAAAACACAATGTTAATTGAAAAAAAAAGAAACATTTTTAAAAAAATATCAGAAGAGACTCTTCCTATTAAATACCTACCATAGAGCCTCCATAGACTCAACTAGACATTTAGATTCACAGGACAGGCTATACTCATTCCTAGTTTACTCAGAAGGATAACAGGATAGGAAATAAATCAGGGCAACCTTTTCAGAAGAAGTTCTTGCACCTGCTTAGGGATTTCTCTAGTTCCGAAATGTCATGTCAAGTGCAAAGAGACAAAATCTTCAAAGTGGACTTTAAGATAGTGCCAATATTTCATGTTAACTGTCTCAGAGTGTTTGTTGGCCCCTATCATGAACATGGTTCTGTTAAAAAGCTATTTTAATAATGGGTATTGTTTTGATTTTTTGGTTTTGTGGTAGTCGTGGTAATATTTGTGTGTGTCTACTGTCGAGTCAGATCTGACTGGCACAGGAGGAGATTGCCCCTCCTCCTCCAGTAGAGCATCTGGTGGAATCAAACCATGGGATTGCAGTGCAGCTTCTTGCCACTAAGCCACCAGAGCTCTCTTGTTATGGTGTGGTGTTTAAGTCTTCTTAATCTAGTGTAATTTACCATTCAGTCATCAGTTTTTACCATGAACACTGTTGCCTGAAAATTGATGCTGCTTTGTCAGACTTCCAGGGCAAAGAGGCAAACAGTTTATCCAAAGTCAATTTTGACCTTAACAAAGAGAGAGAACTTTTTAATTCTTGATTCAGTATTGGATTTAAGAAATAGGGGTGGTTGTTGTTGATTGCTATTGAGTCAAGCATGGCTCATTATGATCCTATGAACAAAAGGCCTGAAGCCTTTCTATAACTATGGTCATTTATCAGAGTTCATAGAGTTTCCAGAGGCATGCTGTTTATATCTGCATTTTAATATAGTAAAGATTATATTCAAATATTAATTGTATTAATTTGGAAATATTTGTGTTTATTATTCCTCTTCAGACAAAATTTGACAAAAAAGGAAATGTGACTTCTTTTGGTGAGTATGATTTTTTTTCCTAAATCACTTTCTTTTTAATCAGTGAATAAGTGAATCTGATGGAGATAACGAAGTTGTAATGTTTTAAAATGTTCAGGGTGTATGTGAGTATATTGGAGGAATTTGTTTTCGGCATATGTCCACCTACTCTAATTGAAACTGACAATGCTTTTACTGTCCTTATTCGCCCAGAAGTGCATTTTTAAGGTTTTTTTTTCCCCCCCTGGTAGGAGCTACATTTGCTCTCATAGGATGTTAAATGACTATTTTAGAAAGTAGAGGCTGATTAGAACTAGGGCAGAGAAGCATTTTTTCTCTTTTCTCTCTTTCACTGCCCTATTCCTTATATCATCCTCTTCCTGTACCATGTTTAATCACATAACATCACTGACATTATAATGGCAGTGAATTTTGGCAGACCAGGAGGGATAGGACATAGGATGGCAATCAAATGGACCTCAGCCCTTGATCTCTAAGGACAGTGATTTTAAAAATAGAACAGTTTTTGTAAACTGAGCAAGGGCAACATGGGGACAGCCAACTCTAACCTCTACTAACTCCACAAGGGGAAACTGCCCCCATCAGTAGCATCTGCAACACAAAACTAACAGCTACAACGTTGGACATGGTCTCCCATGTTCCTACACTAACTTTCACCAATTCAAACCCCAATGTTAACTGGTTATTGTTAGGTGCCACTGAGTCGAGTATGACTCATAGTGACCCTGTGAACAAAAGATCTGAACTCTGTTCTGCCCTGTGCTGCCTTATACTTCCTCTCTTTCTCCACCCATCCCAGCATCATGTCCCTCTCCAAGGAATAGTCCTTCCTAGAAACATGCTCAAAGTATGTGAGCCAAAGCCTCATAATTCTTGCCTCCAAAGAAGATGACAGCTGCTTCCTCTCCGAAATATATCTGTTTGTTCTTTTGGACATCCATGGGATAATCAGTACTCTTCTCCAACACCACAACTCATAGGAATCGAAACTTCTTCTGTCATCCTCATTCATTGTCCAGCAAGTGACCAGAAAGACTATGGCCTGAATCAGATGCACCTTAGTACTCCTAATTTCCTGATTGCTCATACCAAGGGTGTTAATTGTGGGTCTAAGTAAGATGAAGCTGTTGACAGTTTCAGTCTTTTCTCCAGCCTTGATCCATCAACATCTATGATGTTGCCTTCAGTCCAGTGGTAAAAAAATCTTTGTTTTCTTGACATTGAGATACAATCTATACTGAAGGCTGCATTCCTTGATGTCTGAAACAGGTGTTTCAAGTCCCTCTCACTCTCAGCAAGCAAGGTTGTATCATTTGCATAAAGCAAATTATTGATGAGTCTCCCTCCAGTCCTGATGCCACCCTCCTCTTCATAGAGTCCAGTTTCTCGAATAATTTTCCCTGTATTCAGATAAAATAAGTATGGAGAGAGAACACAACTCTGTCTCTCAGTTTTAAAACATGCAGTGTTCCCCTGATCTGTTCACACAACAACTTCCAGGTCCTGGTATAGATTCCACATGAGCACAATTAAGTGCTCTGCAACTCCCATTCTTCTCAATGTCAGCCACAACTTATTCATATAGTCACATGCCCTTGCTTAATCAATAAAGCACAAATAGACGTTCTTCTAGTTCTTTAATTTCAGTTAGGATCCATCTGACATCAGCAGTGATATTCCTGGTGCCACATCCTGCTTGAATTTCTGGAAGTTCCCTGTCTGTGTACTGTTGTAGCCAGCCGGGTCGAGCATGCTCACCTGCTCACCATTGTGGGATTTGATAATGAGGTATATTAGGGAATTGAATACACCACAATACAGAATAGCAAGAATGTACACTCAATAACCAAACAATACATCAGTCCAGATATTAACAAGCTATATAGGTTGGCAACAGTATGCAGTAACCATAAAGTCCCTCAGTCCTCCAGCAATCTTGGATTGAAGGCCTCTGGCTCTGGTTCTATGGAACAGTAGTCACAAGTCAGATACATCCAAATAAATTAGCAGCAGTCCCAATCAGACCGCTGTCACTGTGCTTCTCCATCCAAAAAACTGTTTCTCTTTCTCAACCTCAAGAAATGTTGGGCTAAGTCAACATGTCATGCCGCCACTCCCTTGTTGATCTGACTCATCTGACTCTCCACTTTTGAGGTATCATTTCTCTTTTATGTAGCTCCCAGTCAGAGCCTTATGTAAGTGGACCTAGTCAGGCTGAGTGGAGGCAATTGAATCAGGTTAACATGCCTGCAGGCCAGACAGAGTTGAGGTAACTAGCTAAACAGTGGTTGAGCATAGCCATTTTAAACAACAGAAAGCCATAGCGGCAAACCTTCTACACTGCATTTAATCTTTTTTCTTGTGACTTCAGAAGCAAGTTTTACTTCTATCACTCACTAATCCACAATCTTGTTTCTTCCATTTCTGAGATCCTAGTAGAGTATTGAGTGCTATTTTCTTCAATATTATTTTCAAAAGACACAGCTCTTTAACAAATGAGATTTGACACTAATGTACAGATGCTACCAGAACAAATATATTGTTAAGTTGAGGTAGAGAGCTGAAATTTCTTTTTCTCATTTTGTTTTATTTTAAAACAGAGAGAAAATTGAATGTATCTATTAAGAAATAAAAAATACTAAATGTTATAATGGAAAAAAGTAGAAAATGTTTTGTAGTTAGAAATTGATAATATGAGTTTTAATGATATATAGCTATGATATGTATGTTTGTGAGATAGTTACAGAAGCTGTTGGTCCCTGTGGAGGTTTTATGTACAGAAAATTTTTATGAAGTGTGGATGAGGGGGGTTATTAGAGTTTGACCAATTTTAGTCTGAGTATGGTTTGAGGTAAAAATGTATATCCATAAAGGCTCATTTAGTTTTTGAAATTTGTATTACATTGGTGAGTGCTCAGACCTGAAAGCCTAAACTCGTAGCAACTACTTTTTTGAATAGTAATTTGCATTTTTATTTTTATATCTTCATAATTCATATGATCTGTGTATTGCTTTTTTTGAAAAAAGTTTACATTGGTTTACGTACACAAAGTTCATATACATTGTACTGTCTTTCATTCATATTGTGTTTCATACAATCATTCTCATTATGTTTTATAAAATCAATCACCATTTAACCATGCCCTTCATTACCCTGTCTTTCCAGATCCCTGCCGGCTCTATCCCATTTCCTTTATCACCACCACCCCCCTTCCACACACCAAATTGTGTGACCCTGTGATTTCCCCACTGCTCACCCTCATTCTTCTGTTCCCATCACTTCCCCTTACTAGTTATCCTTCTGAGTTTACAACAATGGTCCTATATAATATTTGTCCTCATGACACTGAGTTCATTCACTTGGCATAATGTCCTCCGGTCTCTCCCAAGTTATGTAGTAATTTTTTTTTTTAAAGCATTGCTCTTGAGTGCTGCAGCAACTACTCTTTTTAAGGAAAACATTTCTTTTCTAGAAAGAAAGAAAAATGAATTACACCAAGAATTGGGTCTTCAGGCCAGAGATTTACGATTTCAGCATGTAATGAGCATCACAGCCAGAAACAATAGGATTATCATGAGAATGGAGGTAAGTTATTTTGTGTCATATACATTTCTCCACCATAGTCCAAAAAGTTACCTAAAAAAGTACAAAAGTTGCAGCTACAAATATAATAGTGATTGTGAGGGTGATGTAAGACTGAGCAGTAATGTATGTGGAGTTGCTGTGAGTCGGAACCAACTCAGTAGCACCTGAAAAACAATTGTCTTGATGAGTAGCGAGGTTAAAGTAATTTTGGAATAAAAATATCTAATAAAACATAGGATATTTTACAAGTTAGCTTATTAGTAAGAATGGGACTTATTTACATTCGTTTTATACATGTGTCCTTTTTAGATGTCAGCAGACATTGTTACAGAGACTATCAACTGAATATTGGTCTCTATAAAAGAACTACAGTGATATCATGTGTAGCATGTTGCCCTGCTAACTAAAAAGTCAATGATTCCATTCGAATCCACCAGCCGTTCTGGGTGGAAAAGATGGGCATTTTCCTCCTGTTAAGATTTACAGCTTCAGAAACCCAGTGAGTTTGCTCACTGGGGAGTTGCTATGAGTAGGATTGACTTGACAGTAGCAGATTTTTTTGATCCCTATCAGGCTTCCATATACAAAGAAATGTTATGAAGTATGGATAGGAGGAGCAGAGAATTAGTAAAGAGTTTGACCAGTTAACAGCTCTATGATTTGCATATATATAGATAATGTATGTAATATGTGTATGTATATGTTTTCCTTTGTTTGTTTATTTTTACAGTATTTGAAAGCTGTCATAACTCCAGAGTGCCTTCTTATATTAGATTACCGTAATTTAAATTTAGAGCAATGGCTGTTCCGAGAACTTCCTTCACAATTGGCTGAAGAGGGTCAGCTTGTCACATACCCTTTACCTTTTGAGTTTAGAGCTATAGAAGCACTCCTGCAATATTGGGTGAGCTTGTTTTTTATTTGGTTTCTTCAATGTATTTTAGTTTTAATGTGCTATTGAATAGGAAGACAAGTTGGTATTAATACCCTAGCATATTCCTGGCCACATCACTCTGAACAAAAACGTCCTCAGAGCTCTTAAATGGCAGGGTACTTAATTTTTAAACTTAACGACCTAATCAAGTAGGACAAAAGATCTCAGATATATATTTTTAATTGTTTTTAAATAAATTTTTACTTACAGAGTTCATATACATTGTTTTTCACACTCTCAGTTATATTTTTCTAAGTCATTTCATGGCATTCAATGAAACACATTTCACTCTTTTTACAGTTGCTATTAAAAATATGGAACAGCCTGTATTGAAAGATGATATTAAAAATATGGCACAGCCTAAATATAAAAATTATTGTTAATAAGAAGGTTTAATTTGTTCCGGTTTTGTCTCTAAATTAAACTACGTATAAGAAAATGGCTTACATATGATAATTATAGCATTAATCATTCATCAGATTATTTTAATACTTTCCAAATCAGTTTCTTATTTGAGGCAGCTAAATGATGCTTTTTATAATATAGTATGATTTAGAGAATCACATGATTATTCTAATGGCTCTTCTATTAAATTGGTAACAGCTGATATCTAAGAATCTTTTCAGATCCTGAACAAAGGTTGTTTACTACTTTGCTACTTCCCACAAATTTTCACTCTTTTTCCCCCCCAGCTAGCTGGCTGCATGCAAGAATTGTTGCCAGAAGTAACCAAGTAGGGAAGAAAGAGAGTGTAGGGGAAAAGAGACATGATGTAGGTGGGAATTGGGTAGCCTAGTACCCTTTTCTTTTGACTGCCTTTGAATAAGAGATAGCAAATATACCCAAGCTGGTTAATTCGATAACAGCACCAGCTACAACTAGCCAAGGAAATGGTAAATAATTAGAGCCTGGTGACTAAATTGGAGCCATGGTCGTTTATATATTGGGCTAAATTAACTGAAAAGATCATTTGTTCAAATTCAGCAGTTGCTCCATGGGAGAAAGGCAGTTTGCTTCTATTTAGAGGGTACAGCATCACAAACCTATTCAGGGTCACTGTGGATCAGGATCAATTCAAGAGCTTTGAGTTTTGTATTTTGTAACTAAGTAAGGAAAAAACAGAAGGAGAGCAGGGAGATGTACAAAATGGTTACTGACATACTGGGCAGGCTCTCAAAAGTTCTCACTGTTGTTGAAACTTTTTAATCATATTAAGCCTGGAGAGAGAAACTGGGCTGATATGAGTTTCTTCTGCCTAGAAATGCAACATGGGGAAAATGGAGAAATTGAGTATATCCACTGAGGTCCTGGGAAGATTTTCTTCTGAATGGCTGTTACACAGTCAGCAAGGACAGCCACTATATACAAAGGATAATTTTCCAATAAAGGAAAACTCAGCCTCAGCTGATGGACCACTGTATACAGTGAATGTCCTTTTACAAACACATGTCCATGGCCCTTGGCAGCCTCCATACCTGCTAAGTCCACACCTTCCTTGGTAGGGAATTTGGGCTTTCTTTTAATTAAAAAAGTTTGCCTCGGTTTTTGTGTCCAGCCTCTCCTGCCTCACACTCATACCTCCAAGGACTTTTGAACCTGGAATTAACTCCTTGATGCCCTAAATAAACATTGATTGTAGTTGTATTACTAAACAAACAAACAAAATTCTTAAATGTGTAATTGTATATTTCTAAGATAAGTAATATATATAAGAATTTATGTTATCAGTTTATTTCACTGTTTCATTATATTTGCTAACTGGAGGTACTTAAGTATTTTAAAAAATTGGTGTAGCTATCCTGGAGTCCCTGGGTGGCACAAAAGCAGTTCATGCTCAAGTGCTAACTAAAGTGGTTTTAGTCAGGAAGCTCCTCAGAAGAAAGGCATGGTAATCTACTTATGCCAAATCTGCATAGAGCTACTTTTACATACATGAAATTGCCATGAGTCAGAAGTGACTTGTGGATTACTGGAAAAGCTATTCTAGTGTAAACCTCCTGAGTATCAGTCAAGCCTATAATAACCAGAATAAGAAATATACTTTAGGTTTATAATTATTTGTTTTATTTTACAAACTTCAAGTAATTAGTTTTCAAAAGAATTCTACCCGTAGGAATTATGAACTACATTCTTACAAAGAACATAGGTATTGTTAACAAAAGTAAAATTAATCAGTCCCCATTTCTGTCCTTGTTGTATATTGGGGAAGATATTTAGAGCATAAATTCCCTGTCAGCCAGGCCTGAGCTTATGTGGCAGCATGTGTTATTATCTTTTTTTTTTTTACAGTCTAATAAAGAGTGGCCATGTTGTAAAAATGTTAACAATGTTTCTCACTATTAAAGATGTATGTTTGTAATCACAGGATTCACTGACCCTGATTATTCTAAAAGAATTGTTTTAATTCTTATCAAAGGTCATGTTGTTATCTAGATCAACACTCTTCAGGGGAAGCTTAACATTTTGCAGCCTGTGATCCTTGAGACATTGGAATCTTTGGTGGATCCCAAGCATTCTTCAGTAGACAGAAGCAAATTGCATATCCTCCTACAAAATGGCAAAAGGTAAATATGAGTGATTCATTTAGTAGGGAGTTAGTGGTAGATTTCTTTAAAATTCCCTTTAGTAGACTCAAGACTGAAAGGTAAATTCAGACTAACTAGTGTTATTGTTTGCTGCCTTAAAAATACTAGTCATAAAAAAAAGAAATACTAGTCATGCTAATTACAGTAGCAATTTTTACTTTATTTACTCTGCTACATTCATTGACATATTTGGAAGCAGCTAAGATTGATGAATGTAACATTTTGTCCAAAAATATTGACGTTTCTATCAGTATGAATGAAAATATCTATATCACATTTATTATAATTAAAAATTCCCTAACCAAAAATCTTATCTTCACAGTAATTATGTATTTCTGAGATAAATAGTATAGACTGAAACTTATTTTTCATTTATTTATTTTTCTCTGTCATTTCTTTGGTTTGGGGATTTAGTCTTTAATGTGCAGGATAACTGTTGAAGTATTTTTTTAACAAGTCTGTTTATACCTTAAATATATAAATGGTTACTTGATAAGATATCTTAAAAAGGTACTATTATTGTAATGAGATCTTTGTATAGGTCTATGTTATTGATCATTTCTGTTCCACTATTACAGCTTATCAGAGTTAGAAACAGATATTAAAATTTTCAAAGAGTCCATTTTGGAGATCCTGGATGACGAAGAGCTGCTGGAAGAGCTATGTTTGACTAAGTGGAGTGACCCACAAGTCTTGTAAGTATCTGACTCTGCTAGCTGCTTACTTTTTTAGGATAGATTTACCCCACGATGTATTTGGGGTTGATTTTTTTCAGAGAAAAACCTAACATCTTTATGGACTCAACAACATAGGAGGGAACTCATCAGCCACATTTCAGATTTTACTCTGTGCATTATTGTCTCAAACTCAAATTA